AGGGTAGGACTGGGCGAGGTGCTGGTCCGTGAGCCAAGCCGCCCCCACGGGGAGCCCGGGCTCCATTGGCGCCCCGCTCCCGCTGGCTCCGGATCACCTCGTTTTGCCAGTTCTTTGCACCTTATTTGACTGCTGGAGGGAGAGTCAGACAAACCAGCCAACCAGATCCCGTATCAAGTTCTTTCTTGCACCGTAAATCTCAAAGCCTCAATGCTTCAACTCAAACGCTCCATAAAGGGAGTTAAGCAACACGTACTGCATCGGATCAAAAGTTCCCAGAAAAAAAAAAAAAAAGGGTTTCTCTGCATGCAGCCTGCCTGGGTGTTGAGAAATCACCGCTGCGCAGGGAGAGCTGGAGGGACACCTTAGCCCTGAACAGCACCAAAAAGGCTCGCTTTACTGCGTTTGGGCGAAGAGGGTGAAGCGGGAGGAAGGGTGTAAGGCATTTATTTACTTATTGCATGTGTGTGCAAGACTGCTTCACCTACGGTTACGCAAAAGAAATGCAGAGGCATTTCAAAAAAAAAAAAGGTAAGTTTTACTAAAATAACAAGATAACTCGGGAGGCTTACATGTTAGGGGGTTTCTTTCTCCCTCCTCCTTTCTCCCTCTTTTTTTCCCCGTTGCAAATGAAAAAAAAAAAGAAAAAAAAAGGAGGTAAAGAAACTGGAGAGTTTTGGAAGGAACAAATCCGCCTCTGTGGACTTGGTTTCCCCTCCCCCAACAAAAACAAGCACTCAGGGCTTGAAGGAATTTGCAGGCAGAGATCTGCCAAAAACATTGTGAAAAACTATGGGGGATTCATTGGAAACAGATGGCGTTTTCAGCTGTAATTCTGAAATTCTCTCCTTTTTCTGACACAATACAAACAAACCGGGGATACGATGGCGGGGGGAGACGGCCGCGGGGGCGGCCCAGAAATGTTATCGGGCAGAAAGATTAGCAATCGGTGCAAGTGGCCCTGTGTGTGTGTGTGTGCGCGGGGAGGGGGGCCGGGCAGCGAGGTTTTTTGGCCGGGGGATCTGATGCTCGCCGGACCATTTGGTTGCCATCTAGCCATTTGCTTATACCCTCTGACAGCAGAACATCTCCCAGCCCGGCTCATGCCAGTTTTCCAACCAAACAACGGTGCAAAGCAGACGGTGCTTAAAAAAA